TTGTATGTTTCAGTGTCTTAGTGGGAAGACATTTTACATTAGAAACTGATCATTTGCCTATTTTGGGCCTCTATTAAAAACTACTGACCTGCTAAGGATGAGGCTTCAAGGGTGGATTATTTAGTGCATCAGTATCTCTTTAATTTGATATATATCAAAGGAAGATGTATTTTACTTACTGATGCTTTTTCAAAAAAAATTTCTGGGTTGATGCCCTCTTATCCAGCTTTTTTTTCTTACTGAAAGAGAAGCCAACTGATTTTGGACAGACCACTGACGCTACTCTGAGATGCTGAACTGTGCAAGATATGTGCTGTGCGAGTGGATTGGATGGACGGAGTCATTATCAGAACTTTGCATTATACAAAATTCAGTGAAGCCATGTGCTACTCAACATGTTCAGGAGCCCAGGTGATCAGTCCAGCAGCATTGTGACAGTCCTGGAGGTGGCACATAAAGGACATTTGGGAGCTATGAAGATGAAGGATCTTCTGGGTAATTATGCTTGGTGACTAAGGCTGCACTCAAGATATTAAGCATCATGTGACAAGACACTCAACCTGCACAATGGTCCTTGTGCTCCTTTGAAACTGGTAACCATAGACAAACCCAGGCAGAGAACTGCAAAGGATATTACTGGCCTCGGATGCACTGCATGGCTATGCAGTGGTGATGGTTATAGACTATTATTATTATTCATGTTACCTTTCTGCATTAATAATTTCACAAAGCACCTTACAAGAGTTCTTTTTATGTCAAATTTATTTACAATGCCTACCACAAACCCTCATTTCAGATAAGGGGACACCAGGTGGTAGTCCTGTATCCAAAGTATATCACAGGTAGCTGATTTCTTCTTTCCCAATCATGCATTTTGCTGAGCTTGCAGTCAGTATTGGGAGTTTTGAGAGAGATGTACCTTCTGATTTCAGCTGTAGATGACCACATCATCTAAGTAGGCTGCTGCATATGAGCCATGTTGTGGAAGAATTTTATCCGGGAGTCATTGGAATGTTGCTGAGGCATGGTGGAGGCCAAAGTGAATAGTCTGAAATTGATAGAGGCCAAACCATGTGGCCGAGGCCTCTTTATCCAGGTGGTAGTGTGGCAAAGTATGTTTGTGACAAGCTGTGAATGAGCAACTGGGGATGGATTGCTTGATGACTACCTGTTCTGTTCATTCCCTCTGAATCACTTGGCATTGGCTACTGTCAGAAGACAGGAAACTGGGCTAGATGGACCACTGACCCTGTATGGACATTCTTAAGTTCCTGCCGAGCAGCATTCCAGCAGAGAATCCCAAAGGGGCCTAGGAACCTTTTACTGAGGCCTGAGAGGCAGTAGTTTCCAGCAAGGGCCAGTCTAGAGCATGGAGCCCTGCTATAATCCTTAAAGGCTTGTGCTTCCAAGATCATGATGTCTGATCACCAGCTCCCCTGAATTGGGGACACCTTGGGCCTCGGGCTGTTGCTCGTGTAAGTCAGTCAGAGCCATGTCCATCAGCCAGACCACACTGGCAGGGACTCTGGCTTGTGTTTGAGCACTAATCTCTGTCCCCAGCTGGAAATATGTGAGTTAATTGCTCCACCATGATGAGCTCTACCATCTCAACTCCAGTCCAAGTCTTCAGCTTTAAGTACCTCCAGCGTAGATCTTTTAATTTCTGGGTTGCCATGTGAGGCCAGGTTCCCCTGGGACACTTCTCCTCCACAGAAGCCCTGTCAGAAAGTCTCCTCAGTGCTGAGGTAGTCATGCAAGGCCACTTTTACCTGCCCATAGTTTTTGGCAGTTGTTAAATCCAGCCCCCAAATTGTGATATGCACTGGTCCCATCAGGCTAGATGACAACAGGGTGGCCACTATTACCTCTTATTCAAACATTATCAGGAAGGTCTCCAGGTTGTCCTCAGGTCTCATCATTGTGAATTTCACTGGCATGGGCTGGACTACCAGGCCCAGGACCGCCAGCCTCTGGAGGGATAGCCCTTGGGGGATGCTGAGGCTGCATCAAGGCCACTACCTATTGGACCAGTCTTTGCTGCTCTTTCTGCTGTAGTGCCCCTAAGTCCTGGACTAGGTCTTGCTATTACGGCTGCTGTTGCTGGATCTTTGTCATCAATTTAAGGAGACAGTCTAGGTCCATGGTGTCTCCCTGGCCAATTCACATTGCTAAGTGGAGAGTGTTTGAGTGACTGGGTCAGTCACTTCTCCCCCTTCTCTAGGGATGGGAAGGATACTTGCATTCTCCAACAGTTGTTGAGGGGTTGACTCTCTGTTGGCACCTCCTTATAGCTGGCATGTGTGACAGGACTGTTTTTTCTCCACTGGAGTCTGCAGCCACTGAGCGCTCCACCTCTGGGGTGGCCTGTCTCTTTCTGTGACGTGGCTCCCGAGCCTGACCATTTCCAAGTCTCTTCTATGGTTCCAGGATAGTCCATAAACAAAAAGTAAAGGGAGTTATTAACTCATTGTATTTGTGTTAAGAGAGAGCAAGGAATGACTCCCCTCTCAGAGTGTATCAGGATCCGGACCATGACCACCCTTCCCGCAGGAAGGGACCTTCAGAAAACTGTTGTGGAACCTGTTCCTTATACTGCAGGCTGAAGGTCTGTTCTGTTCCCTGGTCTGCCTGCAAAGGAGCTGTTCTGCTTCTCTTAACTCCCCCTCCTGCCTGTGAATAGTGAGTAGTATCTGTTGTATTGTATTCCAGCTCTTATGGCTGTAGATAGAACTTTTAAAAGCTCAAGCTGAATACAAACCAATGCACTGAGTCTGCAGAAAGCATGGAACAATAACTTAGAGGTGTGACCTGCCTCATATCTCAGTGGGTTCTTGATTCATGAACCTACAGGTGACAAATTATGTCAACACTGTTAACTGTATCAGAGAGGTAGCCGTGTTAATCTGAATCTGCAAAAGCGGCGAGGAGTCCTGTGGCACCTTATAAACTAACCAAAGTATTGGAGCATAAGCTTTCATGGGCAAAGACCCACTTCGTCAGATGCATGTCATGTCATCTGACATGCATCTGACGAAGTGGGTCTTTGCCCACGAAAGCTTATGCTCCAATACTTTGGTTAGTTTATAAGATGCCACAGGACTCCTCGCCGCTTTTGCAGATTCAGATTAACACAACTACCTTTCTGATATGCATCTGACGAAGTGGGTCTTTGCCAACGAAAGCTTATGCTCCAATACTTTGACTAGTCTATAAGGTGCCACAGGACTCTTCGCCGCTAACACTGTTAACTGTTTCGCTGCTTATCATAATAACAAAAGCATCCAATTAATATTCATACTGCACAATTCCAGATCATTTCCCATATCTGCAGAGGTGTCAATAGCTCCTACTTGCACCCTGACAGCCTCTGTAGTTATAAATTACTCATACAAAATTCTGTGGCAGATTGAATGCTGAAAAAGTGGAGACAATATAAAAATATATTGAATATATCAATATCTAATAAATATCACAAAGGCTAAAATGTGTCCTGTTCACATTTAAAAATATTTATTTGTAAACTTGAAAATTGTTATAGTTCCCAGTGTACCAAGCAATATACCCCAGAAATGCAGAAGTGTTGCTGCAAGAATTATCTTCAATTTGTCACTGAGTATGTGCAGCCCTTGTGTACATTATATTTATATTTTACTGTTACTGTATAGTTTGATTTGTTCAACTTTTCCCACATGTACCATATTTATTACACCCTTTTAATATGATGATGTGGTTATTGCAGATTTTAAAATATTTAAATTAATAAAACAAAATAGATTATATCTATGCAGCTGTGGCACTTACTGGGTATCTGTTACATCTCTGATAATTACATTATCTTCTCTCCTGAAATACTGATGTGATGTGGTCAATATAACCATGGGGGGGGGGGGGGGGAGATTTTAATTTGATTAGTTTTCTTATATAACATAAAACTTAACATAACATAACATAACATACTGCATTGCAAAACCTAAATGAAAAAGGCAGAGATTATGCCACTGAAGCCTTAAGAAAAAGTAAAACTAGAGATTAGGGCACCCATTATTTCCTGACAGATTATATTATAGAGGGAACGCCTCAAAGCCCTGAGGCCTTTAGCAAATGGTGATGTTGTGGCTCCTCTTTATCTGTTGAAAGGAAGCCACATATGACCTCAAGACAGGTTAGCAAAAGCCACCTCCCAGATGGACAGGGTTTGACACATCATTCTGTTTCTTTTTCCATACTCTTTTTTTTTTTTCTACAGAGAATGAATGCCATCCAAACTAGGGCTCACCACGAATTATTCTGTCCTCAGGCTAAACCCTGCTAACATATAATTAGTTTAAATAATAAATAATAATAGACTTTTCTTTGAGTTCCCCATGTGCATTGTCTTTTTTTAATGTCTGCCTTTTAAACTGCAAGCTCTTTGGAACAGGAACTTTCTTACTTTTGTGCCATGTACAGTGCGGAGAATTGTTGGCACTAAACAAATAATAATAATAATAATATAATAGAGGCTAACTAAATGTCACCTCATTTTTCAGCTGCATCAAAACTTCGATGCACAGTAAGACAGCAACATTGCATCCTCACAACACAGCCCCTGAGCACACTTTGGAAACACACAAACATCTCACAAACACTTATCTCTGACCATCTTACACTGAAAAATTACACTCAGGTGCACCTATTTATACTAGAGCAGGCAGTAAAACTTGCAGCCCAGTTCTAGCCTGGTCAATCATTCCAGCTCCTCCTAAATGTTCACCACCACTAGCTGGTGCCCATCACTTTGGAAACCATCAGGGCTCCTCAGTTCCTATTTGTTTCCTTCATAGGGAGCTTGATTTTCAAACCCAAGTCCCCACTAGCCTCCTGCTTCATTGCATTGGCTTGGCTGGGGGTGAATGGGAGGTTTCATTTATCCTGAACAGAAACCATCCTCCACTTTCCCCTTCCTCCTCCTCCTCCCACCTAGACTGAGCTGACTCCATCTTGGTCGACTCTCTAGCCTGTCTGTTTATCACTGACTCTATCCATTCCTTCCCCTCTCCCTCCTCCTTCTCTCCCTCTCGTCATTGTCCGTAATAGACGACGCGGCGGCAGCAGGCAGCAACGTGCAGCGGCGGCGGCAGTAGCAAGCGGCTCTTTCTCTTTATAAACCCTGCTGTATTGCCCGGATGTGAATGGATTACAATGTATCTTTCAGGGAAACATATTATTACCAATGTCTCCATGGGGGAGTCGATGAGGAGGAGGAGAGATCTGTAAACTTGGAACAAGTTTAAGACTTTTTTTTTTTAACGAGGAAGAACAGAGGGAACACATCTCACCACCACCAAGCTTTTTAATAATTTGTTAATAACCATGTGCTTGTAAAAACAAAAGAGGGAAAAGTTGTTGGATTTTTTTTGGCTGGCTTTTATTTTTGTTCTGCTTGGGTGGGGAGATTTTGTGACAATTGTTTTGTGGTGGTTAATAATAATTAAAAAAAAAAAGCCAGGTGTAGAAGTTCTTTTAAATCTGTGAATAATCCTGGACCAGGACTGAGAAACAGTTAAAGTACTTGTTTTGTTTTTGGGGGTCAAACACATGTGAGCTAATAAAGCACTTTTGAAGAAGATTTCTCTCTTTAAAACTAGATATATATTTCCTTGGACTGTTGTGAACATATTTGGGGCCATTAAGGTAAAGTTTACAATTTGCTGTTAGAGTAACTTGTGTGATTTCTTTTTTAAAAAAATGTTGATCCCATTGTGTTATTGTAAAAAAGCTTACAACCGGTGCAACGTGTAAATGCAAACTGAAAATAGGCTGTAATAGCACAGTGTAGTTAGATGAATGAACTTATATTGTTCAAAGGATCAGTCGAATGAACTTATTGCTTTGTTTCCTGATGGAAAATGAAGTCTGTTGAGGTTTTGGAGAAGATGGGGCCTGTAGCAGGAAAATTTGAAGTAAAAGTATAACATGCTGTAAGGGTGGAGTGGGAAGGGTCCGTTGGCATCGTCCCCAGAAACTTGAGTGCAAAACAAATCAAATGGTTGATTCTCTCCCCCCCCCCCCCCCCCCCCCCCCCCCCCACCCCACCCCAAAGTTTGCAGCAATACTTTCTGTAGATTGAAACCCAGCATGTGAAAATGTAGCGTTAGGTACAAAAAAAAAAATCACAGCCAAACCAAAACAGAATTTTAAAACATGACCTGGATAATACAGAGGGGGAAATATTATTCTGCTTGGCAAAGTCTTTGCATCACGTGTATTTACAGCCTAGTATAAACTTGCTTTGCCATGTGTATTTGTGAGAGCTGTTCTGTAGATTGAAACCCAGCATGTGAAAATGTAGCGTTAGGTACAAAAAAAAAAATCACAGCCAAACCAAAACAGAATTTTAAAACATGACCTGGATAATACAGAGGGGGAAATATTATTCTGCTTGGCAAAGTCTTTGCATCACGTGTATTTACAGCCTAGTATAAACTTGCTTTGCCATGTGTATTTGTGAGAGCTGAAGAAATTTAAAAGTATACTCAGTTTAAAAGTGCTTCGGCCTGGGAAGAAACCGGCCACAATTGACTGGGATTTCAAGCTTATATGATCTGCGGGTATGGAGGAAAATGAGGTGCCCGATTGCGTTTTTCTTTTTTGGAGGTGTTAGTGTGAAAGCAAATCCCAGAGCCAGAGGGGAACGCGCTGTTTCTGCTGCTGCTGCTTTGTCCCCTTTCCTTTGCTGAACTTGCAGTCCGGCTTGTTTTGGTTTGTTTGCGGGGTTTTTTTTTCTTCCCTCCCTCTTGCTTTCTCCTAAGGCAGAAAGAGTTTGGTTCAGAGTCAGAGCTCTGCCGTGTCTTGCTCTTTCGTGGCGGTAGCGGTGTGTGCTTGGTGAATGCAGGGGATAGAGCAATGAAACCCAGAGCTCGGTACTGTGCTTGGAAGGGGAGTACCCTCTCTCCTCTCTCGGGCGGTACGTACTGGAGCCAGGCTAGAGTCGATCGGTGGCCGGCCGGTGGTAATGGTGGAGCTAAACTCGGATCTGAGGGCTCGGACTGGCGCTGCTGGAAGTGGCTTGCACAACACGCGGCTTTTTTTTTTTTTTTAAATTTATTTATTTGCCTCCACGGGAGCTGGGAGCGCTTTATGGAAAGAGTCTCCTTATGCCCCCCTCCTCCCCCCGCCCCGCTGCCCACTTTACACGAACTGATGACTTTGCAAAGGGGCCTGGGGTGGTTTTATTTATTTATTTATTTATTTTTTAGCCATCCTCTTTCCTAAATGAGGGATTTGGTCTAATTGTCAAAGCTCGAATTCGCCCTCCACCCCAACCCCTTTCACTCCTCAACTCTGATTTCCCCTTGCACCCGGCGGTTCGTCTCTCTAAAGACTTTGTGTCTCTCTTTAAATTTCTTTACACGCCACTTTACGTGGAAGGAGGAAAAGGAAAAAAAGTTAGGAGCGGATGGCTGTAGTTTCTTCTCTGCGATTCTCATTCATTCCTCGCTGAACCTCCTGTTGCATAAATGATGCGCTGAGAGCGTGGCTCTATTTTTTTTTTCTGGATTTGGGTTTAGCGTGGATGTTACCAGGTTTCGATCGTCTCTTTGGAAATACAATATCGCCTTTTTGTTGTTGTTTTTGCTGCCCCTCCATCTTTTCCCCTCCCTTCTTCTCAACACCCCCCGTTCCCAATCTACCCGTCCCCCCCACCAAAATCCGATTGTGTTTCCTCTAAGGCTCGGGACTGGGTTTCTGATTGCGGTTATTTCCATGTTTCTAGGTTTGTGTGATTTTGCTAAAATGCATCACCAACAGCGAATGGCTGCCTTAGGGACGGACAAAGAACTGAGTGATTTACTGGATTTCAGTGCGGTAAGAAACAACGGTGGAAATTAACAACAGCTGTAAAACATATCTTCTAGCTGATCTGTTAAACTAAAAAACAACAAAAAAACCCAACAAGAACAAAAAAAAAAAAAACCCAAAACAAAACTATGATCTAAGTACATTGGGTAATTTTTAATCAGCAGCTAGACTCATGGTAAATATGCTCGCTTAAAAAAACAAAAACAAAACAAGTCTTATTATATTTTCTTGTTCGTGATGGGAGATGTAATTTTGTTCCTAGCTTACTTTTAATGTCATGGATGTCCAGAAATTTTTACAAAAAATCGACCCTTCTAAAAATGGACATTTCTCATCATTAGTTAATATTAACAATAATATACTACTCCTCAGCACTTACATTGTGTTTTACATTGTCAAAGTGTTGATGGCACAAGAACTAATTAATTACTAATTAGTTACTTATATTCTACTTTCAGTTCTTCCCTTGTTTCATTTTTTTGGCACATTGAGAGTGCAAAGAAATCCACAACTGTCTCAGTTTAAAGTTTTCACTGAAATCTCAGATGGCTTCTGCTGCCCTTATGCCTGTTTAAATCTTTCCTGAGGACACCTGGATAGATGGTGCTTTTTTAAAGTACTTTTTCGTCTCTTTGGGTTTCTTGTAAATAGCCTAGCTTTGAGGGCAAATGTGAACCTGGACGTGTGCACTTGTCTAGTTTTATCCCCCCCCATCCTTCCTCTCCCCTCCTCCTCCTCTCTCCACCCTTCCTCCCAATATGTCAGGAGCATTTATTTAAGGAAAAATCAGTTTGGTGTAAGATGCATGTGTGTTCTAAAAAGAATCTCAACCCTACCACAACAATCAAAATCACCTTGTAAATGAGGCTATTTCAGGCTTTTGCTGCTGCTGCTGCACAAGACTTTCCTTTGGAGAAATGACTTTGGGAAGTTTGGCCAGGAAACGTAGCCTAAGGCAGCTTTGCAGCCTCCTCTTTGCTTGTTGCACTTTTTCCATTTGTTCCTTCGCTTTTTGCAGGCTCTGACTCAGGGAAGGTGCGTACTATCCACTAGACACGTCGAAGAAGAGGGAAACCAATTAGGGTCGAAATAAATGCTGGAGAGAGAGAGAGAAGGGGGAGGGGAAGAGAGATTGAGAGAGAGAGAGTCTTGCTTCAAATTGCTCTCATATTAGAGACGAAATGAGAATTTAGGGCAGGTGGCACTTTGCATTATTATTATTTGGGTTCACATATGACAGGCAAATCCTAAAACGGGATGGAAATGGACATTGCTACATTTATGGCCAAGGTTTCAACATAAACTTTTTTTTTTCCCTCGCCTTTGTCAACCTAAGAGTTTGATTGGGGATTGTTCCTCACTAAGTTTGGGTAATATTATTAGGGACTGTGATTTTTCCAAATGTTAGTTATATTGTTTGGGATGCTGAGCCTAATTTTTTTTAAAAAGGTGATGATGGTAAGGGGCTGGGGTTGTAAGAAATACTGTACCATTTTCGGGTCTGAGATGGATGATTCATGTTAAATAAACTGCTAGTGTTCTTATGTAGAGAATGTAGAAGGAACTTTGAATTAACAATAAACAGAAGAATCTCCTTTTTTCCAGCAGTAATGTTTCTTTGTTTCTTGTAGATGTTTTCACCTCCTGTGAGCAGTGGGAAAAATGGACCAACTTCTTTGGCAAGTGGACATTTTACTGGCTCAAGTATGTAAAACCTTTGCTTAGCATACAGTTAAAATATGTTCCTGTTTATTTACGTGCATTCTGTCTGTTTTGGTTGTGTTAATCTGTTTTGGAGACCACATGAATTGAGCACTATACAAGAACTATTATTATTATTTGGATAAGTCTGATTGGAACATTTTCAAATATTTCCATACGTTGTTTATTGCAAATAAAAAAGCCAACAGTATAATTGTTCTAAGTAATCTAGATTAAATTTATCTCTCTTTAAATCAAGCATTGGAAAATGTTTTAATTAAATATTCAGTTTCTGTGCTTGTATGTGATGGACAATAACCAAAACAGCCAAGATACGACATAGTTTCTAAATAGGAATAAAGTCTTTTTTATCAGTCAAACAAACAAATAAAAATCATAATAGAAAGATCAAGCGTACTAAAGGAACAAATTCTTAATTTTAGAAGTTAATATTTACTATTAGAATATACTTGATCAACTTGAAATCTGAAAGCTTTTCTATTTAATTTGATACACTAGTACCTTTTCATGTTTTGCTGCTTTCAAACAGTTGTGTAAAATAAACTGGATATTTTATTATTTTTTGTAGTTGTAGTATATTGACAACTTTTTAATGAATAGGATCCTTGTTGGTGGTGATATAGATATAGATATCTCGTCCCATGTATGCAATAGGACACCTGTGCAAGGATTGTCTGGCAACTAGAGAGCAGTTTTTTATGGGAAATATTTATATCCCTGACAACTTCAAATGAGACTCATTTAAATGTCTTTATTCTTTTATCTGTTAAGTTCCATTTAAGAGGGTTTCCACATTGGTGCATGTAGTGTTTAGGATGTCACATATATATCCACAGTTAAAACACCTGAAATGTCTTAAAAGTACTGGCATAACTGTACAATGTACATAACAGTATTATATGCAGAATATTGCTCTAAATCAGATGGTAAATTTGGGTAAGTCTTTACTGCAAACTGTCACTGGCTATCTAGATAAGTTATTGCATATAATTTCATGTCTGGTATTTTCAATTTGTACTCAAATAATAAGAGTAAGCTTTTCTGTGCATTCAGTATAACCATTTTTATGAATTGCACTGTTATATTAATTAACATTTAATTTCTAAACAAGGACTTTCTTACCATTAATTTGAAGGTAGTCTGTAGTGTATAATATTTGTTATATTAGCTGCTTCTTACAGCTATTCAACTCTAATTTTTTGGTCTCCTCTAAAAATAATAAGATATTTATGAATGTTTATCATAAATATAGTTATTTTCAGTGTGGTGATTTTGGAGATTTTACTCATCTCAGTATCTTTATAGTCATAGTTTGCCTAATATTTCTAATGTTAAAGTGCGTAACCCTATTTTTATTACTATATTTACAGTAGCTATTTTCATTAAATGTATAATATTCAATATATTTGTTTTCATTGAACAGAAGTGTTAAGCATTCATGCCAGACAAATCAATTTGTCATGCTTTTGTACAGTCAATGCAGTAGCTAACTCTTGTCTAGCAACAATTAACTAGATGGTTATATTTAAGAAATTTGTCTTCAAGAAGTCAGTGTGATAAAATAACATAGGTTAAAAATTCTATAATTTAGTGAAATTAAGTTTGAGTGATGTATCATATCTAAAACTGAACGTATAGAAATACTTTGGAGCATCATTTCTGACATGCAAATGATTTAATGAACTGAGGTAAGTCAATAATATTAAGATGTGGACAATTTAAAATAATACCTCTAATTAAAATTCATATATAAACTCACAATCTATGATAATGTGCATATGCTTAAATATATCACTTTGTGACAGAAGAGGGTAGAATTATGCTATCTGATATGTAGAAAAATATTGGTAAATTTTATTCACAGTGGTGTGAAAAAGAGTGTACATTTATTCTTTGTGGAAATAACTTGCAATTTACTACAGTATATAAAAATCTCCTGTTTGGTAATAAGACAGGGAATAATTTAAAATACATGTTCATTGGTTCCCAAAAAAGATGACCCTGCCCACATGTTGAAAGTATTGTACCTAGTGCACTAAATCATATATCTGTGGCCTGATGATATACTTGTATGATGAAAAAGTGAAATCATTGTTTCATAGTGTTCTTGTTGGTCAGTTAGCTTTCTTTAGTAGTGCCTTGGAAACTACTGCAAGATATGTTTTAGATGAATATTCAGCAGCATTAAAATATTAATATTAGTAATTCAGAAATATAATTTATTGTCCCAGTTAAACACATTGAGAGTTTTTTTTTATTTTAGTTAATACAGTTTGTTCAAAACTGAGACTTAAATGCAGTTTTCTTTTTTTATCCACTGGACAGATGCATTTTAAAAGTTTGAGTAGACAAATGACTTTACTCCTCTGTAAAAACTGATATTTCTTGTGTTGAAGAGGCACATGTGTTGCCTTGAAACTTCTCAGAACATAAAAGACCCCAAAGAGAAGTAGTCCAATGCAGTGAGGTGAAACCAACTGTATTTTGCGAAGTGTGGTTACATTTAATCTTAAAGTAATCTTTTTACTCATTTAATACATGACGTTCTGTTGTGATTTGTAGCGTGTGAATGAATATAAAGTAGAGCCATGTGTCCTTTACTCTTTAATTTCACAAACATGGAATCTTACCACCTTAAGAAATGGTGAGTCTGCAGAGGAGAAAGGAATGTAATCTGAGCCACAGCCATGACATTCCCATGGAGCATTTTTCACATGAAAGGTTTTTGTCAACCCAGTAAAGGACCAGAAGCTTTTGTTTGATGTTTGCAGGTGTTCAGCAGAGAGCACTAAAACAATTCAGCCATGCTGGTTCAGAGACTCTATGACCCTAACAGGGGGAATTGGTGAGGACTGGAATTATTTTTAAGAGAACTTCCCTAGAGTTATTTCAACTTGTATATTTAATTTGTAAAGTGATTTAGTACCTGCTAGTCAGTGGTCTTAAACCAAATTTAAAAACACACATGTCCATTTGAATCAACCCTTTTTAATTTTTAGGAGAGCATGCCAAAATATCAGTCTATGTATCAATCTATGTTTCTAACATTCCAAAATATTTTCTGAATATTTGTCATTTCCTCCATTTATATCAGTTCTGTACAATAAATAATGTTAGTTAGCAGTTTGGGCATGAACCATAGGAAATAAGAAAGAGATAATAATTGTTCTTGATTATTGAGAATAAATTTTGAAACACATGTAATATTGTTGGTATGGAACAATTTGTTAGATCTAGTACATTGGTCACATCTGGCACATTTCAGATTTCCAGTTACTATATGGTGGTTACAAACTCCCTCTCTTCTAGTTGTGTTAAATTTTGGCGGCAGCTTCTTCTGCAAGTATTTAATTTTGCCTATGTTTTCAAGCATCTGTTAAAGATTGCTCACAGTATGTGTGTTTGAATATTGTGTGGATGAGAGCAAGCAATACAATAAATGAATGCTTAGGACTGGCCATTCTTACTGCGCGAAAAATCTTTGTTAGCATAGACATTACTCAATTTGTCAATTGATTTAAAAGATTTAAAACCTTGCTTTTAATTGTCTCTTGTTTGATTAAAGGTTGCCGTGAATTAAAGAAATAATTCGTGATCACTATTTTTCTAAGTAGAAAGCTGAGATTCAGTTTGACTTTGAAGTCATTTTGATTTGGGCTGTGTTTGTGGGTAAATTGTAACCAAATGTGAAGGGATTTAAACACGATTAATTTTTTAGCATTTCCTTCTGTGATAAAGTGCATAATTTTCTATTTATCTTAAAAAGGATTTTGGTAGCATTTGGCTCTAGTGCCACCTCCGTTGTATGAACAGCTCCCATTAGTATCGGTAGGAGTTTGAGTGTGTGAGAGAATAAATGTCTAATTGTGAGAGATTTTTAAGGAGTGCTATTTATCTTTTTTAAAATGTAGAATTACTGTTCAACTGCAGAAAGTAAAACAAGACAAAGTTTTAACCGTGCAGGGCTGTAGTTTGAATAAACTGAGAAGTAGAAATTGGCATTGATACTCGATTGTGTTGTCGTTAAATAGGTGCCCTGAAAGACTAGTTGTAAATGTTCAAATCTGTACTGGATTACGTTGAGAGTCAGAACTCTTTAAAAAAAACTTAGAAAAGTATTATTTAATATAGGCATGGGCTTTATTTGCATTTTGTGTCATTTATATTAACTTGACATGACTTTCCACCATTTTTGTGCTTTGATGAGAAAAAAAAGTACTTGTAGAAATCGCAGACCCTTGGCTCATTTAATCTGCCAGTCTTCAGTCTTCACTGTCAGATTGTATTTACGCATTGTGATATTCTTCTCTTATTTTGTCTTTTGTTAATCCTTGAGGATTTAGTTACTCAAGTACTCAAGAGCAACTACTTCCATATTTTTCATCACTAATGTTATGTAACTATGATTTGGATGAAAAAGAACGCTGAATACCTTCCATTCTTTCAGCTGTGTTTATGTATAAAGGGCTTGATCCTGCTCCTATTAGCATCAATGGCAAATCTCCTGTTGACTACTGGAGTAGGATGAGGCCTAGATTGTGGTGTTTGAATTGGTCCTGAGATAGCATACTACATACTTACAGGAGTTTAACATTTAGGAGTAATTCTGCTACCACTAGCAGCATGTATGTTATTTACAGAGTCAAAGTGAGTGTTACCCTATAAAGAGCATCCTAAAGTAATTGCCATCTATAATTATGTGAATATATCTTAAAATTTGAAACTAAATTAGTATCAATATAATATCAAAAGGAAAATATGACACCCTCTTAATCGCTGAAAGATCAGTGACAAACTGTAGCCTTGGAAGGTGATAGAGAATTTAGGTAACAGTTTACAAAAAAGGTTATATAGAGAGCAGTATCCTGTTTATTATTTATTTGAAACTGTAACATATACACATACTTTGTAATCTGCTGTATCTGTTTTTGTGTCTAGTATGAGTTTGTTGTTTAATCATGATCAGGGTATACCTACCCCTT